GCTGTTGCACCGCAAAAAGTGTGCGATTTTTTGCGAGACCATTACGTTACGGAAACGCGGGTAATAGTGCAATTTTTCTGGTCTTGTTTCTCTGGGCAATCTGTATCTTTCAACGTGATAGCGTCTGACGTACTGATACCTTCCTATCAATCTGTAAATATTTTCGATATTAATTACTAATAAGAATTGGTATTATCAAGTACCTATTTTACTACTTCAATAAATAAAATTGATATTAGCAGCAGATTATACCGTCGGTATTAAATAAAACAAGCTTACTTTAATATTTAAATTTTCATTTAAGAACCAACGCGAAGTTTATCTGCCACCTAATACTTTTCCAATGTGACGTATGTATTCGTCGAACATAATTAACCGGTTAATCAGATTACTGCGACTCCACCGAAGTAAACGAGGGATACATTCGTTTCTATTTACTAAATCCGTCACCTTCAGCCGAGGACACGCTGCTCGCGTAACACTCGGCGACTTCGGCGACTCTACTTCGCGCACGAAAGAAAAAAAGAAGGTTCCCTAATCGGGCCGCAGACGACGAATCACGTGCAGAGTCTCCTCGAGCTTCTCCTTCGGGTCTCGCAATCGTTCCTCCTCCGCGTTGCGTGAATCGTATCGCTCGGCGCGTGAACCAGACAAACGATGAACATTGGCCGTGGTAATTTCCCCGGCTCCGTGAGACGTTCACTTTGTCACGTCCAGCTGTCCTTATTAATTAACGAACTCCTGATAGAGAGAAGTGCATGTATTCCCCGCTCAGATAGTTATTAATACCACGCGCCTACTTCCTCGAAGGCATGATAAAAGGAGTGAACGGTGATCTCGTTGCGAAGAGAGAATGATGCAAGCGCCGAATCGTATGCACCAGGTTACTTGGGCTTCCTAAAAGAAACAGAGGAATGTTTTCTATATTATATCTGTTTCACGATATTGTCTATTCAATATTATCTATCTAAAATAGTTTGAAACCTTCGATCAAAGGCTCTCACTGGAAAATCAGCGTGGCAATTGGAAGAGTTCTTCGATGAATCCCATCTTCTTTTTATAAAATGGTCTTTGGCCTGGAATCGAGTACTTTTGTACTCTCAGCAGATTTTTTATTGTTTGAAATATATTCCTCCAGATGTAACAATTTACAACAGTTCCGTCAGTGAAACCGTGTAATTCGAGAGGAGACACGATAGAAGCCAGACGATAGGTAATCAGGCGCCTCCGATAAGCGACTCAAAGACCAATTCGCGCACAAAATCTACTATCTACGCGAGCATAGGAGCTGGACATTGACCGTCGTTGATTAATGCGGCGGGTTGCCATTGTTCATTTTTTAGTTCGCCGTGTTATCTCGCATATTTATGATGTAACGATGTCTAGGAACATTTTAGAGGAATCTTAATAGACCTCAGATTGCGGCTTCCAAGTGACTCAGAGTAGATGATCTTGATTCCGCTTCGACAGGCTTCGAGCCTCTTATTATCCAATCGAATCGAGCGTTCAAGAGCGGAAAATAAAGTCGAGGAGCGTTAATCGTTCAGCCTGAAATGAAAGGAAACTCGAGGCTCGTTAGGACGATCCAAGAAACACGAGATCTCGCTCGAGGTGCAAATTGATTTCGAATCGCGGAAGTTCAACGGCGGTTGGGAGACTGTAAATCAATTCGGTATTCGAAACGTTTAATCGGAGCTCGTTCCGGCATGGTCAAGGACGAGCTTAGGCGTCCCTTTGCGGAACTATGTGACCGTGAATTCCGTGTAGCCCGAATTCCCTCACGCTACACCGTTTCGTTGCACTTATCGGCGGTGTTGGCGATCGATATCGCAACCGGTGAAATTCTTCGTCGCAAATTCGCGATCCCGTTCGCATTCGGAAGCTCGTAAAGCTATCACGATTTAGACTCTATCGAGGGTGCAAGCCGCAAAGTGTCCCTTTTGAAAAATTATCTACGGCTTTCGTGCGCCGATAAACGTGCCATTGAACTCTCCGATAAAACTAGCTGCACGGCTAACGAAACTTGGGGATAGTTCTTTCCAAAAGGCAGAGATGGTCTGACACTTACTAACTGAATATTTTGCTTGGATATTTTTAAAGAATTCAACTATAGATTCGGTACGATAAATAATAAGAAAAGTAGTAGTACTTTCCACAAGATCTGTTAAGACAATTTTCTATTGCAACTCTGTTCATCCAATTATACCTTTGAACATTTGAATTCGTACAAAGGCCTGGAGTCTAACGATAAATAATAATAACAAGAGAGGCAACGTTCCGAGCTTTTAAGAGACGCGACACGATCTCGACTTTGTCCGGCGTACGGAGACCAAAAAGAGGAAGCGAGGAGCAAAGAAAATCAACCGAAGTTACACGGCCGCTCCGTGTAAACCAGTGTCCTGTTATCACCGGTCGGGATAACGTGAGAAAAGTGGGAGGAAGCACGAGGGACGAGGTGAAGAAGCCTCAATGACCCGTGGAACGATCGTCTGCAAAAAACTCGTTTAGATAGGCGGGCCGAGCAGTTTAATCTGGTTCGCATGGCGTTTCCTTCGTCCCGCTTTGACACGGTTCAAACTCCAAACGATCGTCCGCAATCACCGATTTGGCAATTTGTCTTTGCCGGATTGTCTGACACGCTGTCGTTAGGAACTTGCGCGGCGTCGAGGGGGCGCCGTTAGAAAATCCTGTCGCGTTCCCAGTGCGCGACAACGTAGTGTGTTCTATAATAAAGATAATTAAATATTAAGTTAACAATAGAACATACTACGATGCAACATTTCTAAAATATATTATACTCAAAAATTGTTTACTTATCACCATACATCTCCTGTCTTCGATAACGCGCTAAAGACAATGGTCTATTGTCTCACAGAAATTTCGTTTTTCCAATATAATACGTTCTACGATTGATCATTTATATTACAGTCTGATTATTCTAATGATGTTTCAGACATTGATAAACCAATCTACAAAGATGTACCGTGTCGGCACGGAACATCCGCAGTCCATTCATAAATCTTTTCCGCCGCGATCGGCCCGGCAAAGTTTACCGAACATAACGAGCCCCGTTACGCCCGGTGTTTGAATCGTAATTGGAAAGATTGATTTACGGAAAGAAAAGTTCACTGAGGATTCGATGAATTCCGTCGTCACGGGGTTCCCTGATGCCGGGTAATTACGGCCGGCGCGGTGGAGTTTCCGAACTCGATATCGCGTCGGCCGCGGGACACGTGATCGAAAACCGGCGTGGATTTACGAACGAGCAAACTTTCGGGCGTCGTTCCCAACGGCTAATTGTTATTACTATCGACGCGGAGGATCGGCTGTGCCCGAGAGCTGCGGTTTATCTCGTCGCGATTGTTAGTCCAGCTGCGGGATTCTCAGAGGGTTGCTTAAACCTTGCCTCCGCGCCGTTTCGCCCGTACGTTGAACTCCTGGGGTCATCCCTCGCGGTTCGTTCGTGCTACAGATTGCGGCGATACGGTTTCTAAAAAATTCAAGGAAAACGAGATACACTACTGACGAGTACATCAAGCTTATCCCGAAAGACAGGAATCTGTATCATTAGTATTCTTACAATTCATTTTACGCCTGGTTTATTCTATCATATACCAGTATTATCTTCCAGCAATCTTCGCATGATTCTTTAGACTTCAGTTGCTATTTTGTCTTAAAGTTTCGTTTAAAGTTTCCTTGATTTTCAAAGGATCTCTTCCTCTCTTCCCCGGTCCTCAAGTTTTCTAAATTCTCAGCAGTTCTTTAACTCTTCGAGGAACTTCGATAACTCGAATATCCTGAAAAGTGAACGTGAACATTAAAAATCAAACGTACAGTGAAATCGTTAGATTAGATTGGTAAATATTAATGGTACCAATGAGTCTGCTTACGGTCCCGAGCCGAGAGTACCGGGCTGCATGGGAAAGTACGATGAAAAGATGGTTTCAGAGCGAAAGCGCAGGGTCGGAAAGGGTTGAAGTCGTGCGCACGAAGTCGTAGAAAAGTTAGGACAGTGTATTCGAAGGGTGATATCCTCGCGGGAACTCGGGCTCGCCATATACATATCGATTGGTGCCATTCGGTGCCTGGCAGTGGGTCGTGCTTCTTCTACTTCCATTCGCGCAGACACCGGATACGACAAACCTCCGCCAGCCGAAAGAGGAACATCGAGGGAAGAGGGCTATGCTCGTTTCGTTCCGACGGTGGATCGTTCCCGCGGACAATTAGGATAACCGCGTCCCCTAACGCCGCTGCCATGAACGCTTCTTCACTCTTGTTTGCCTTAGCTACCCGGAGAACGATCCTTCAAGATCGTTAACGCGTTCCCGCGGACAGTCAAGTTTACCGACTCGGTTTACACTTGACATTTGAACCGAGGAAGCAGAAACAAGAAGGATACCGATAATTAACCCTTTGTCTTAGGGTTTCTTTAGCCGCGCTCCTTAGAGTTACATTACTTTATGTAGCTTTATCTTTGTTTGATTACTTTAAAATGATTTTACCTGACATTTCGTTTTCCCAGGCCTTTTCAGTGGAAAATGCTGAAACCGATCGATCCGCGCTAATTTTCGAGAATAGTTTAATGGCACTGTTCCCCAGGTGATTCGTACAGACTCGTTTGGTACAATCATTTCGATGATAATAGTGCCGTGTACCAGTGTCGTACCATTTGTACAATGCCCTCGTGTCCAACCGCAATACACTTTTGCCATTAAATCTATCGTTCCACGTTTAGAACGTATGGCGAACACATATGGCCCCATAGCAATCAAATCGTACGATTCGCCCGTCGATTCTACGGAGAAATGTTGCTTTGATTTAAGAAACATGCTAGATCGTTATGAAGAATCCCGACTTGCTCGTTTCTGCTTCAAGTCAACTGACTGCATAGAAGTTTTGACGAATGTTTACTTGGCAGTCAGTGTTAGAACCGATAGGAGCTAAAGATCCGAGGAAAGGATAAGGAGCAGAAGCGAGTTCCGAATTAATTGGACGCAACGAGCTGGAAGTTTCGCGATCCGATAACGATAGTCTTCCAATAACTTCGGTGCTCTCGCCAACGCAGATTATGCTGACCTAGCGGAACAATAACCGGTTCGAAGCGCGTATGTGCCGCAATTAACGTCTGCTTGTTCATTATCGCCTTGTTCTTTTCCTTGCTATTTTCCATTCGCTTATCAATTGAAATGATAATTCCGTGCAATAGAAATGCTGACACCAATGTGACGCACGAAGACGGTCGGCTTCTTCGTGTTGCGTCGATTGCCCCGGTGGTCACCGGTGACCGGCGCTTCCAAATAGCTAGAAAACATGGAAAATATGAAAAATGATTGATGTGGAATAGAGATGCGTTTAAATTGAATAAATAACGCTGGGAGAGATTGAAAATGATTGCGAAAAAATGTGTTGCAGCCATTATCCAAAGGTATTCCACAGCTATCAACGAGAGGACAGATGGAAAGGCGGCGGCCACCGTTTCTTAGAGGGCCTAACAAGACGAAAGAGGTATCTGCAGACCTTAAATCGTTGTTTAAATAAGTTTTAATTAATCGTTTTCAATCATTTTGTCCCGTTTCTTTGGGAATCCTTGTAACGATCTCAATCATTATAACTATGTCAATCTTTAAACGTATTATAAATAAAAAAAATAATCTTTTCTATCAATTTTGTGGATTGATACTTATTAAATTTATAATTGCTTTGTAATTAATTTTGTGCTCAGTCATAAATCTCTTAATTGTCATAAAATTGTGCAACTTTGTTGTGCTATTAATCAAAGTTTGGTTTCTGCTATCCAAACTGTAATTGCATGTGTTTGAAAATCGTCGTGCATCATGGATGCACTATATATGCGGACGCGTAACTACTCACGCTACGTGAAACCGCATGTTGCATGTGTGTGTGTTCGTATACAGCCCTCCACGCACCCTGCCAACCGACAGTAAACAATAAACAGAAACATAACCTCGATGATTAATACAGAAGTTTTTATTCGAGGGAAGTTTTAATGGATACGTTACTATGACGTGTTTGAAGCTAATGAATTAATGAATATGTAATATAGATACAGTAATGAAATAAATAATATTATAATTTATATTAAGGGACTGATATTTTGCTTCCCTTTGATTTTAATCGTGCAAGTCAAATAATGTAATATAAATAGGTTTTTATAAGGTATTTATTTTTAACTATTGTAATACTTTGTTTCTTTTATATCTTACGTGGTTTGATAATTTTGACGGTTTTCCATAATTAAGATTATATCCATTTAAGACGGACAAAACCCCAAGTAGTAAAATGGATTCATCAAGGAGTGTTACCAGTGGTACGGGAGATAGAAAGGACGATGAAGACTTGTCGCCAGATGCTTTAGTCAGGCAAAATTTTGAACTGCGTCATCGTCTTGAAGAGGAAGCCGCTAATTATAAAAGGAGATTAGACACGTATAGGCAAGCACAGCAACATCAGGCAGCTCTTGTTTCCCGTTTACAAGCCAAAGTAACTTGCACATCCGTATAAGAGTTATATCACTAAATACTTTTATTACATAGAAAGTTAACAGTTTATTTTTGCAGGTTTTACAATATAAACAAAGATGTTCAGAACTTGAAAATCAGGTCGCAGAAACCAGTGCATTTGATTCGAATAAACTCTCTTCTTCTATACCAGTGGTAACTACTCCATTAGATGCAGCACATCAAACATTAAGGGATATGCGTGAAGAACAGATTCATGATTTAGATACTGCCTTAAAAAAACTCGCAGACGAACGGAAAAAGTAATATTTCATTGCTGAAAACACAAGGAATAGGTGCAGTACATTACTCCTCTTTTAGGTGTGAAACATTGTTACAAATTAACACAACATTAAAGGACCAATTGGAAGAATCGCATCAAACGAACGAGGCGCTCACCAATGATCTACAGAAGTTAAGCAATGACTGGGACATACTGAGAGAAGAACTAGCTATCAAAGAAGACGAATGGAGAGAAGAGGAGCAAGCATTTAATGAATATTACACTTCAGAGCACAATAGATTGTTAAACCTTTGGCGCGACGTTGTTTCCGTAAAACGATTATTTGCAGAGATAAAATCTAGTACAGAAAGGGACTTGTTAAAAATGAGGAACAATATTAATTGTACTTTCAATGATGTCTCATCAGTGTGTACTAACATAGGATTTGCTATGAAGATGCAGGCTGCTGTAAACCCAATGGTAAACTTATTCCATGGTGTCTATTACCTGTTTTCAGTTACGAATATTAGTTTTATTTATTTCCGTTATATTGCAGATATCCCAACAAGTTCAACACGCACAGGAACAGGAAACGACCGACTTGAAAATGGAATTAAACACGCTTAAACAACAGTACGATGTAGCTCAAAACGAGATTCGTGTAAAGGAAGACAAAATCAATCAGCTCATTCGTGACATTCACACTTTGGTAGATCATGGAGCCAGAATGTTATTTACAAAAGTCACAAAATTGTGTTTCATAATGGTAGACACTTTATTCCCCTTATTCAGGAGGAAAGGTGTGGAGAGGCAGAGGCGGAAGTGCATCGGAACGTCCGTGTACACGAAGAAGTTGAAATTTTACAATCAGCATTGAGAGACATAGCGCACGCTGTAATTCAAGATGCAGAAACACGCGAGATTGAAAGTACTCAGGCGCCGCCGCATCTCCATCTAACTCCTAGCGTTTCCATCCCCCAGAAATCACCGAAAAGAGGTACAAGAAGCACCACCACCCCAGCCTTTGCTGAAAGTACAATCAGTGCTGTACAAGCAGCTCTGCATAAATATCAATTGACTATACACGAGCTTCAGGTGTGAAGATTTTATATTGTATGCTTTGGTAAATTGTAAGAGCACAATATTCATCCTACAAAGATGTTCAAATATTTTATGATAACTTGAATGCTTGCCTGCGATAGGTGAAATTACAAACTAACAAGGAACAGCTGTTGACCACTCGAAAGCAATGCGAGAATGCCGAAGAAAATATCAAAACTCTGGAGAAACGGGTGGAAGAGTTGATCTCTGAATTAGACACGGCACGATCGCAATGCTCGCAACTTAACCAAGAGAAAGATATGCTACAAAAAGGTCTCGATACCGTAAGGGTAGAAAAGAATGCGCTTGATAAAAGTAGAGTTGAAATTAATAGTATGGTACGACATTTTTTATCACGCAAAAGTATGCACACGCTTTGTTGATGATCGGATAGATAAAGAACATGTTTTTCAGATGGAGAATCTGAACAACGATTACGAGAAATTGCAGAAAACTAACAATAAATTACAAAAACTCTGTGATAATCTTGAGGACGAGAAACTATATCTGCAAAGCGAATTGAGTAGAGTTACCAAAGAAGCGGAATTACGGTGTGTTAAGTACTAACCGTATTTTATACTTCCACTAATTAACACAACTTTCCATTGTGTCGTTAGGGAGATAAACCTTCGTTCGGAGGAGGACAGATGCAGCAAAATGAGGGAGGAATTGTTGACTTTACGAGAAGAGTTAAATAAAACGTATCTTGCCAAAGACATGTTGGAGCAACAGAAACTAGAAACAGACGGTCTAATTTCTCAAATTGAAAAGAGTAAAGGTAATCTCTGTTACAACTTGTTATGTACGATTTACTACTTCCTTTAATTTAATTATAGGGGATTTGGAACTGGAGTTAGAACGTGTAATGTTGGAGAAGTCAGACGTGCAAGAGGTCTTAATGAAGCTGGAATCGCTTTGTAGCAATCACGAGCAAGAAAAACAGAGACTGCAGGAAGAACTGAAGAAGGTATTGTTTCTTAGAAAAGTGTAGCATATTGTTCGCTGAAAAGCAGCTATTAACTTCAGGTGACGGAGGAAAAGAATAAGTTAACAAGTCAATGCGCGGATCAACAAAGTGATTTAGGCTCCTTGAGGAAGGAACTGCTTCAGGCCGAGCAAATTAGACTGGACTTGGAATCAGAAAAAGTCACGTTGAACGAGAAAGTGAAGTTTTTAGAAATCGAGAAGGAGAAAACTGAAATAGAATTGGCACAGGTCACACGCGAACGTGGAGATCTGAGCAATCAGTTGTCGGTTTTAGCGCGGAAGAAGGAGACGTTGAACGAGGAATTGATGAGACTCAGGCAGAGATTGGAACAGGCAAATGAGATGAATGGGAGGATCAACCGGAATTTGGAAGATTTAATTAAAGACAACGAAGAGAAACAGGTAGCTTACAATTAATTCGTGCGTTAAATATTATATAAATGTAAATTGATTTATATATTGGGACAGGTGCTTCTGGAAACCAATGAGAAAGAAGTTCAACGTTTGCAAGAACAGCTTGCATCGATGCGCAGCGAAAAGGAAACGCTGGAAGGTGTCCTGTTCGACACGCAAACCAATCTAGAAAATATGCACGTGAAGAAGACTCAGTTGGAGAAGGAACAGAAAGAGCTGTTGGTCAACAAGGAGAACTTAAAGGGCCAAGTCGAGAGGCTGATGAAGGATTTAGACAACAGCGAGAAACGAGCACAAGAGATGAGGCAAAGTTTGACGCAGCAAAGCGGCGATCAAGAGGCTGAATTCCACCACATTATTTCTAACTTGAAAAAGCATAGCGAGGATAACATTAAAAAGCTGAGCGAAGAAAAAGTAATAAATTTATATACGCATAATTGATAAAGCTGAAACTTATTGGACTTTTTTCACAGGAACAAGTGAAAATAAGCTTAGAGAAGCGACTTCAACAATCTCTGTCGCAACTTACTGGAGAGAAGGATAACGAGATTAATCAGTTGCAGCAAAGAATAGACGAGCTCCAGCAACAAATAGAAAATTTGTGTCAGCAGCACGAAGAGGTTCTTCTCAGAGCAGAAAATGACAAGCAGCAAGCTCTTCTGATGGGTAAGAAATACACTCACAGAATGTGAAATGTTGATTAGATTTAATTCTAGTTTATTGATTCCATGCAATGTAACTTCGCAGCTCACCACGATCAACAGGCATTAATGGAGAAACTCGAAGGCGTTTTACGAGAAATGGAAGAAGAAAAGAACAACGTGGAGAGGATAAAAAGGGAGGCAGCTGCGCGTGCCGAGCAAGAACGTAACAATACCAAGCAATGGCGTGACGAATTGAGTCGTCTCAAGACAAAATTGGACGAGAATAAATTGAGATCCGACGAAGAAAAAATAAAGCTCGATTTGAAGATCGAGGAACTCTGGAAGGAACGCGAGTCAGCGCAACGGGAATCGGAGGAGCTGCAAGTTCAGTTGCATATGACGGAAGACAGGGTCGATAGTTTACAAAATCAGCTGCACGAGACAGTCAGAAAACTTAAAGATGGTCGTTTCTATTAATATCCTTTACTCCTAATCTAGTTATTATTGCTACAACGATGATTACCTGCTTACAGCTGAAACTCTTAACGAAACCTTGCGCAAGGAATTGGTGGATGTCAGAAGACAATTAGCTGACTCCACGTACGAGAAGGAAAAGTACCACAACAGCAACAAGGAATTACGGGAACACGTGAAACGTATTGAAAGCGAGAAGAGAGAACAAAGCAGGACATTGGAAGAATCGTACCAAAAGATTGCAGGTATAATATGATGTAGCAATAAATGTAGACAAATGATACGATAGTTGAGTGGTTTGTTCATGAATGTATCGCGTGTAATGATTGTAAAGCTCTGGAGGACATGAAAGTAACTATAGACGCGGAAAGGTCGCGTCTTCAAGCGCAACTTCGGGACATGGAGAGAGAGGCTTCGCAACTACAAAAGCAGTTACGGTTTACGCAGGATGAATTGCAGAAGTGTCACGAAAACAACGAACAAGCGCAAAACGATGAAAAAGAATTGCAAGCACGATTGGCGAATGAGACGGAGGAAAGGGAGCGTTTACAATTGCAACTGCATCAAGTGAAGAAACAGGTAATACAAGAGGTATTCTAAAACAATGAAGGTACATATTCCTATACGCTTGTTGTCCTATTTCGGTCAGTTGGTAGATGTGGATAATAGTTTGGAAGCGACAAGGCAAGAGCTTGGAAGACTACGTTCACGTTCCGACGAGGACGACGAAAGGTGGAGGACGAGGGAGCAGGAATTGTTAGTTCGACTGGAGGACTGTAGATGCAAGGAAAGAAAGCTCGAAGATCAGAAGCACAACTTGGAAGTATGCTTGGCTGATGCTTCTCAACAGATTCAAGAACTGAAGGTAAAATAACAATGGATAATTGAAGTTTTAAAGAACAAATTGTCTGACTGGGAGCAATGCTTTTCTTATATACGTTGTTCAGGCGCGTCTTGGAGGATCCGAGGGACGAGTCAGAGCCCTGGATGCTCAGCTGTCGCAACTGGAAATGGCGAAGAAGGAAACTGAACAAAAATTGAGCAGCGTTGGTTCTACATTACGGCGTATCATTGGTATTCAAATGGATGGAAGTGTCAATATGCCTTTTAAACTGATGAGTCCTTCGAGGAGATGGAGTCCAGCCAGAGGTAAGCAGTCGCTAAACTGATGTAGAAGATCAGCTAGTAATGTGGCTTTGATGCGATTCAGTTCAAGAACACGCTGACTCCAGCAGAGATATAATACTCGACGTTGATCCTGAAGCAGTTAGGAAGGGTGTGCGTTCTTTCATGCAACAAGTGGCGCAGATTGAACGCGAAAGGGTAACTGCTGTTTCCCTTAGTAAACGTCTACGTATGGCTTCAATTAATTTTACACTTAAATGAATTCCAGGACGATTATAAAACCGAATTGTGCAACCTGAAGAAACAGTTGACGGAAACCCAAGAAATTCAACACAAATCAGACTCTCAAATAAACACGTTATTGGCTAATATCAGAATTCTGCAGGATGAAAAGAACTCGTTGGAAGTGAAACTTTCTCAAAGACAAGGCAGTTATGACATGCAGGTATATTTTGCGTGTAGTATTTTAACATTGATCTTTAAGTTACTAATAAATGTTTTTTAGCTGAACGCATTGCAACAAAAAACGGACGAATGCGAGCAGTTACGTGAGAAGGTTGGAAACCTTGAATTAATGATCAGCACTAGTGCTGAAGAAAAAGTACAATGTGAAGTAAGAATATATTTCTCCTTAAAAAAAAAATGAGTTACGTTTTTTGCATTATAACGATTTATAGGATAAGTTGGAAAAGATGAAACAAGCTCTGAGTCGGGTAGAAAACGAGAAGCGCAATTTACAAGAGGAACTGAACAGAAGCGAGTCTCGGGCTACCAAGCTAGAATTACAAAGGATGTCGTTGGACGGTGACCTTCAAAGACTGCAAATGATGTTCCAAGAGAAGGAAACAAATATTCATGTACGCCGTGTATCTGTACCTTTAAAAGTCGTTCAGTAAATGTAAACGCTGTTAATTTCTTTTAATCACTTGCACACAGAAATTGCAAGAAAGGAACGAGACCCAGGGTCGCGCCATGGCCAGTTTAGAGGAACGTTGTGCTTCCTTAAAATCAACAATAGAACAGCTGAATTTGACGTTGGAAAAGTCATCCAACACAGAAAGTGAATTGAAGAGTGAAATTAATACCCTGCAACGTAACGTTTTGGAATTGACCACTTCGATACAGACGTCTAATGAGAAGACCAAACAAGTAACTAAAATTTTGATTAGTTGCCTCTAAGAATAATTTTTTTAAAATTACCGTAACGCCAACATGTTTGTTTCAGCTGCAGAAGCAACTGACGAACACTGAAAACGAACGGAGAGTTTTGACAGAGCGCATAGAATCGTTGCAGCAATCCTTGAGCGACTTGAAGCGTACGAATCAGACGTTAACGGATCAGATAAACCGCTTACAGAATGAACTGGCAAATAACGAAGTCCAACGCTGCACTTTGGAGTCGCAGTTGAGGATAGCCAGTTTCCCACAAGAGGAGACTACAAATAAGGACGAGGAGCTGCTGCGTCAATTGCAGGCTGCACAGAGGGAGAGAAGCGAAATGAGAGGAAAAGTGGATGCACTCAGCGATAAGGTAAATATGCATTTAGTTTATCAAATAAGATCAACGAATGAAACGGGTACTTCTATTATGTTTCAGGTGAAGATGTTAGAAGGCGATAAACGTAATTTGGAACGTCAGATGTCGTTGATTAAGTCGACCAGCGTTCGCAGTAAGAGCTATGAACGTCCAGAGAAAGCGCACACAGAACTATTGGGCACCAGTTTCGATGTGGACCACTATGAGCAGGAGAATAGGGAATTAAGATTGAAAGTCCGCAGATTGGAAACTCAGCTGGCGGAAAAAGAAGCGGAACTCATAAGAATGAAATCGAGCTACGTTCACAGCCATTCAATGTATGATTTCAGCCGAGATAGAACGGGAGAAATTGAGAGACTTAGAGCTGCACAGCTACAAGCAGAGAAACTGTTGGAAGCAAGAGAACAGAGTCATCGTCAGCAAGTTTTGCGTCTGGAAAATCAGGTACTAATTATTACTTCTATTTCTTTGTAATCTATATCAGTAACAACTCTTACCGATTCCCTGTTAACAATAGATTCAGTTACTACGAGAACAATTGAATCAAGAAATAAAACGCAGACAGTTGTACGTGTTGCGAAGTTCAAGAGCTGGTAGGGAAATGCAGCAACTGAGACAAGCGTTGGGCGACTCGTTGAGAACAGTGGCCCAAGATCCATCGCTGGACGCAGTATTATTAGAACACGAAGCTCGTAAACTGGATTCGACTTTGACAAGTACCACCAGTTTACCACCGTCGTTAGCTTTACCTCCGTCATCAGCGTACGACAGATCTTCCACGCCCGCACAGCTCAAATAGATCATCATTCCGTTTGAAATCGAACTAAATACGAGAACTGCCAATGTTTAATCGTATTCGCCAGAAGAATAGCGTACAAACGATTCTTCCATACGTGGGAACATGGGTCTAACGTAATTCGTTCCAGTCCCAAGTGTACTTAAACATTCATTGCCATACTGAATCCGAGGATCAGTGATCTCTTTTTCTCACTGTAAGCCATGGGTTCGTTCATCTCTCTGATTTTATTCGGAAACTGGAACGTATCATGACTTTTTGATAATAATCCACTGTACCGAGGTCTCTCTGTGCCTCTTTTTTATACGAATTTGGAAGCATCCGACTAGAGAAATTTGTTCAGCCCTCCTGACGGTATAGAATGATCTCGTTAATAAGAGAGTTCTTCCTTTTTTAAAGAACTTTTTCTATACCCCGTACCATTTTTTAATGTCGTCTAAAAACTAAGACACGGAATCGTACTTAATCTCAATCCGTCCATATGTATGTGCTAACGTTTATCATTTGTCACGGTATTTCCGTATAAGTTAGCGTTAAATTATTTTAGCGTTAATGGCTATTGATTTTGGAATATATATTCGGATTGCCAAGCGTGCGCTTATGATCCGTATAATGGAAAGCACTTTCAGAGTAAGTTGTACTGGTAAGAATAATGCTATCTTTAGTCTCGTCCCGAGACCAAAGAGAATCACCAAACAAAAGCATTGTAGAGATATGCTTCTGATAGATGAGTAACTGAAGTCTGCCGTAGCCATAGGAAGTAGGACCATGGTATCGTAGAAAGGAAATATCAAAAGGACAACGTGCGCAGGCACGGAATCGTCGACGAATCGGATTGTGTCTATTCTTTACTGTTAAGAATATAGACATCTAATCCAGCCGAAATATTTAGCTGGCTTAACCAAGCTGTCCTGTTTGCGGATCATGGAAAAATTCAATTGTCCGAAGACCATTTTTTACTTTTCTCGGTAATAAACGTTTGCACAATAATAGAACATTCTATTGTGTTCGTGTTTTTATACTTTTAAAACTCGATTATCATAATATTCTTTTCTAACAGCGCAGTCAAAATTGTTACATGTAATTTAAGTATTTTTATTTTTCTGTGCTTCATCCTTTTTTTGTACTCATATTTAAAATGGTCATTATCGAAATGCGTCATCGCCGAAAACGATACGGTTACAATAAAAATTCGTCTACTTAAATCGACGAAAAAATATCAAGGTAAAGAGCTTTTATAATTCTAGTCATAAAGAAACTAATGTTATTACATTTCTCATTATACGAGTATATTATATGTTAATTAATGTTCACTTTTGTAGATCTATGTATACATAATAAATAATAAATAATGTACTGCAAATTTAGTGTTTGTGTTTAAAAAAAAAAGTGAATTAAGATAGAGGATTTAACTTACATATTGTGACTCAAATTAACTTGCTGCTAGGCGGACGAGTAATCGGGATCTCTGTCGATTTAGGCTGCATCCTGATAAAAAGAAAAATGTATTAAAACCTGCTTTTAAATGTATAGTAACTGTATTCTCGTTTTTCTAAATGAAATAAAATATAAGAACTGTGCGAGAATACGGACCTTATTTTCCTGAGAAATTTTTAGTCGAAACTTGTTTGAAACCACTTCACGAACACTCTGAAAGAAAATAAAGAAAGATAAAAGTATATATACGACATAATTTTTCTTTAACAACTCTTATTTTAATGGCAAATGACCTTTTATTAATCTTCTAAAATAGAATTGCAGATTTATTTGAACAGATCGTTGACCGTTATGGCGTCAATCACGCGCCTTTTTTGTCAAATTTAAATGAGATATACAACAGAAATATAATGTAATAAAACATATCGATAAGTAGTATAGAAAAGTATTCTTGTTCTTAAATATATAATATTATTATATTAATTCAAAATCTTTATTGCAAGTACACTAATTTATGACTTAAATGTTCGTTTTACTAGGCGATTAGAATTTAGGCCTACATATGTTTGAATCGTTGACAAAAAAATCAAGAATTAGCTCTCAAACTGTTTAAAATATCGATTAATCAATCTATTAGTAAAAAAATATACGCTTAATTAGAATATATTACAAAATGTAGTAATAGATTTGAAAAGATAGGAATTCAAACAAGTTAATTACCTACAAAGTTTCGCACGCAATTATATCGTGATTGACACCATAAAACTGTGTGACATAGATGGGAATGCTATTTTTAATGTCTCTTAACCAAAACTACTGAGCTATTTAATAAATGTTATTTATTCGTTCGTAGATTATTACATTCAATAATGAAATATTATGTAACAATATTTTTATTTACAACTTCTAAGTGATTAATACATTTGTATTCATAAATGCACAATATTTATATTCATAGTACTGCGGCAATGAGTTAACCATCTATTTCTCTCTATTAAAGCTTCAAAGAAGCGGTATCCACAGTGGTGTCTGCTACTGTTGTTGAACGAAACGCTCTGTTTATAAAATAATTATTTTGTTGACATATGAAAATATTGTCACGTCTGGATTATCACCTACACTAAATAATTTGGGGAACTGATGTCATTAATAATATACAATGTTAAAAACACTTCGAAACTGCGTTTTCTGGAAATCAACTTTATAAATGTTGAATAGGTTAGAGCATCATAGAAAACATTCCTCATTTTACAATCTTATAACACTCATTCAAAAAATTAAAATTCAAGTACAGTTACTATCTAGATGACTTAAGTAGGAGAAATACTAGTCCTAATTATTATTTATGTTTTAATGTAGAAAACATCAGTCACAATGGACCGTGGCAAAGCAGGAATTGGTAGAGGTGCAAAGAGTAAAATTGCTCAACATCCTTCTGACTTGTTTGCACTTGGATCTAAAGGGTCACGTAATGAAAGTTCAGATACTAAAAGACCAGGCGTTATTCATTGTAAACCTAGTACTAGTTCTTCTACTTCTGGTAAATAGAGTAATCTTATATTAGCATAATAATCTTCTCCATGGAAAATGCAACAAAAGATTAACAAACTATTTGTTAGAACTAACATTTCTAATTTTAATTTAAATATAACACTATAGGGAATGATAGGAAAAAAGAAGCACCATCAGGATCAGTTCCACCTTATCAATATATTCCACCAAAGAAACCAAAGCTTGCAACTCATGTCTCTCATCCAAGACCACCATTCTCAAGCGCAGAGGCTTGGGAATTAGTAGCCATAGACATTGATCCAGCGGATTTTGTTCCAATGGTTCTAGAAGCTAATGACAATGATGAAGGAGACAAAGTTATAGGACTTATTTGTGGTGCAATTAAAACACTTAAAAATCAAAAATGGAAGCCAGATACATTAATTTACATGGGGTTATTGTATTTAGCAAAAATTCGTGCCTCTATTTTTTCACATGATTGCATATTACATGCACTTTCATCATTGCTGAAACGAGACCAAGCACACAATTATAAATCTAAGGGAAATCCATTGGTTCCTGTCCTTGCAGCCAATCTGTTAATGAGAGGATTTCATGATAAAAGAAATTGGCCAGAGATTTTTGTTAAGGTTGTTTACATTCTATTAATATATTTTATTTTACATTAGCCTTATATGTACTTCATATACGAATAATTTCTAATTCTTTCTTGTAGTTATATATTGAGGATGCTTTAGGTGAAAGAGTATGGATAGATCACGAAGAATGTAAAGGTTTCGTCGATAATATTTTATCAGGATTTAATACGCGACATCCACCAAAAAGCGTCTTACAACCAGAACTATCTGTTTTAACACCACGCGATTGTCATAGTCCATCTACAATAGATGATGAAGACCCAGGATCTTCTTCAGCACAATTTTCTGGGGATAAAGAAAAGATAGACTTCCCAGTGACACCTAGATATGCTCATTGTATAGAAAATATAGAGTTTATCGTGCTTGAAGCTATAAAAGAACAACTAAACAGAAGGCAACCAGAGTCAATTACCAAGAACTTCTTAAAGTTACTTTCTTCAGCCTGTGGTTTTGTAGATATACGTAATACTGCTGTCCCTAGATTAGAAATGTGGTTGCACAATCCTAAACTGATGAGACCTGCTCAAGAATTACTGAGCTACATTTGTTACAATTGTACTTCTCATACACAAAGGGATGTGGAAGTTATAAGTCAATTAGTAAAGATGAGGTTGAAGACTAAGGCTGTAATTAATTTATACTTAAATGGTGTAAAAGAACTAATTGGTTTACATCCAGAAAACTTAGCTACTATTTTGAAACATACAATTTACAATGAATTATCGAATGCACGAAATCCAAATAATATGCCAATGTTAGGCGTGATGTTTCAAACTCTGCCTGAACAGTCGGCTAAACTACTTGCGGAAATATTTCAAGATTTATTAATGAATCGGGAGGATTACCTACGACCTTTACGTGCCTTGCTCAGAGAAATAGTACGTGTCTGCCGACACGATATCAATTTAATTACTTTCGCTCGCACACTGATGTCCGAGAGACAGGACATAGCGCAACAGTTACTTAACTTTGAATTCAAAGAACGAGTTTTCATAAACATTGCAGATTTACTATGTTTATGTATGTTGTTAGCCATCAGTCCACAAGTTAAGGAAGCTGCGGCCCTGGCGCAGAGAGGCGATAAAAAAGACATAGCTTTGTTACATCACTTTCAAAATATGGTGGCAACAATTCAATTTGAAGCTGTAATGTGGTTGCAGAATTTAGCTCCACAGATGTATGCCATTGGTAGAAACGAACTTCTTCATGCTTTACAGAAAATTTTACTACTCGAATCACCAGAGCATTATTATAAGTTGGACAATTGGCCACCTGAATCGGATAGAGTGTTTTATTTGCGACTGACTTCTGACGTCCCTTTATTACAGAACACACTATTGAGATTGTTATTAATTGGTTATTCAAAAGTTAGTACCTGAAATATTAACATCTGTCTCCTCTATGATAAGTACAGGAATTACAGATATTTTATATTTCAGGAAAATGGTATCAGTCATGCTGAAACTCTAGATCTGGTAGATCAATTGATACGAAGAGCGGCGGCTAATTCATCTGAAAGTTTTCCAACTTTACAAGCAGATAAATTAGATATAATTGAACTGATCTTTAATCTTTGTATCTATCAGCCTCCGGGAACTATAAATATACCATCCAGGTATTTAATATATTTTTAGTATTATAAATTTAAAAGTGTATATACTTCGATAGTTATCGTCACTTATTTCTTCTTCTATAGTTATGTACCGCCAACATTGGCTATATCGAATCTATACTGGAAAGGGTGGATAATGTTATTGATATTAGCTGCCCATAATCCATCCACTATTGGTGCTGTTGCGTGGAAGCGGTACCCTATTTTAAGAACCCTCATGGAAATGTGTATAACTAAGTGGGTTTACAATTCTTTAACTTCCCAACATATAAGTATATAGTAGGAAAACATATACAAAAATATTTTAATATCACATTATTTTGCAGTCACTTTTCATATCCTCCACCGACGATGGCTTTACCAGAGGTCATAGAACAAGAACGTTCGAAAGAATTACAAGTCGAAGCTATTGAGAAACAAGAAATACTCGAGTATGAATCTCATTTGGCAGCTGCTTCGACAAGGATACAGATATCGGAGCAAACTAGCTTGCTATTATCACAATTAATCACCATGGAACCAACCGGTATTGCAAGGAGGCCGCCTCCAGCAGTATTAGAACAAATACAGTCATTGAACGTGTCTCACAGATTAGGACATTTACTTTGTCGGTCTCGAAAACCAGATTTTCTGTTGGACATAATACAAAGGCAACAGCAAAGTTCATCGCAAAGCATGCCTTGGTTGGCTGATCTTGTTCAAAGTAGCGAAGGTTCACTTAGTCAATTGCCCGTACAATGCCTTTGCGAGTTTTTATTATCTACCAGTTCCCAAGCAGTAGAGAAACAGTCGAGACAACAACAGTTGTTGGCCCATCTTCAGATGTTGTTAACCGATCCAGAACAAGATCGACAACACGCTTACGAAGTATTAGAATACTTTTTAAGAAGACTGAGTAGTCAGCAAACAAATAGTCGTCTCCAAGCAATTACTGGCCTAAAGATGGTACTTGGATCTATACCCACCGAAGAAGAGCCCATGGACATAGACAACGAGAACGAAAAGTAACGTAGCAAATGAATATTTTTTTTATAAAACGCTTTTAACTGTCGAAGCTAAAGCAGATTTTTTTCAGGGAGATCTGGCTTCTTCGCAAATTACCATCTATACCGCATTTCTTATCTGTACGAACTTTGGTCTCCACTGCTCTTCGCGGAGCTTGCCAAGTTGAAAACAATCCAGATCTTGTTCACGCTTACATATCGTACCTTGCTGCCCACACTACCGACGATGAACTGCCAGAGTTAACTGATCTGGCGAACGAGATATCTCAGCTGGTAGTTGAGCGTAGTACGATTATAGCGGCCATTTTGCCGCAAAACGAATGCGATAATCCACAAGCTAAACAAACTCTTCATGCTTTCATGGCAATTTTCTGTAATTATTTGGAGAAAGCTCGATCCCCTAGAGGAGAGGAATACACGTGGTCGGAAAGCCAGGATCAGATATTGGTTCAATGGAGTACAGGAGAAGAATGCACTATGCATATTTTAGTCGTCCACGCGATGATCATTCTGTTGACATATGACTCATTCGACGACGATGTATTGTTTAATGTTCTTCTTGAGACATGGTTCCCAGTGAACGCAGAACCTCCAAAAGCTTTTCTGGTGGATACCAGCGAGGAAGCTCTACTTATACCAGATTGGTTGAAACTGAGAATGATCAGGAGCAATGTGCCACGTTTGGTGGATGCGGCTCTTAAGGATCTAGAACCACAACAATTGGTTCTGTTCATTCAAAGCTTTGGAATTCCTGTACCTTCGATGAGCAAATTGCTTCACACTCTGGACGCAGGGGTGCAAATCGATCCAGATTCTGTTGGTGAAGCGGTGCTTGATAAAACGTACATGGCACAATTGGTTGAAGTTCAACATAGAAGAGGTGCCACTGGTGGACTGGTGTTTGTACAAGTTTTGCAATTAATGGAGCCGCAATTACCTGATGAGAACCCAGTAACCATTGGACAGTTACAAGAACCATTGCCTCCTAGTGCTATGGTTCAGAAACAATCCGTTATTCAGTGTTCTGTTAAAACGGATGTACCTCATTTGATCAATAGGTTGTTTATAGAAAATATATCGATGAGCCAGAAGATGGACGCGTATCGTCGATTGCATAAAACATTAGCGAAGGACTTACAAAAATCTGCGAAAGAGAGTGGCGCGGTCGTATTGGCCATACAACACATATGCAGTGTATTGAGTTCGATGCAAGTGAAACAGTTCTTGGCCTCCCTTGTTCACATGCCACAGTACTCGTGCACGTTAATGCGGATAATACTGTTGCCTCTGAAGAAATCTTCTACTTCCAAACAAGTGGTAGAATTGGCACGCAACATGTGTTTAAATTTAATTCAACTGATAGGGGATGTAAAGGCACCAGTTCTATCGATTTTACGAGACTTTGCGAACGTACAACTGACCAAAACACCGAAGACTGTGGAGTTGACGATGTTGATGCAAACTCGTGACCTTGGGTCTATCTTGGAGAGTACGGATCCTGTTAATCTAGAGGCTGTTGGACGCAAATTGTTGGACATTTGTTTCAAGCAACAAAAGACCGATATTCTTGTCGAGGCTATGGCGAGGTTATTAGTAAATGATAGTAATGAAGGTGTTCGAAGGCCAAGGACGGGCTTGCTGATAGATTGGCTAGCTTCTGTAGAACCAGAATTGATTGGCACGTGCCCTAATCTGCAAATGAAGCTTCTCTTCGGGAAAACAAAGATACAAATGAAAGTTGACAATAATGTAGTCAGTTCCCACTCTTTTAGGCCTTACTTATTGACTTTGTTAACGCATAGAGCAAGTTGGGCGACCTTGTACAAATGCGTCGGACACTTGTTAGATAAATGCGACGATGGGTAAGTTGTAAAGTATCCTAAACATTTGAAATAATATAATACCAAAGAACTGATCACAATTACAGATATGACCCGACGGCTGTGTTAGATTTTCTTTGGGCTTTAACATGCAATCCGAAACTTTGGCAAGGAAGAGACAAATTTACGCCGAAACACTATGTCCCAGAAAATATTTTACTTCTGCGCGAAAAACAACTGTTAACGCTTGTGACTTATATAGTTGCTGAAGCTATCATCATTTGTAATTGTCATAGCAGAAATGCTGCTTTAGCTAGGATGGATTCTCGTCTGGATTTATTATTACATTGCATTTCGACGGACGATCATCTGATATCCAGTGTTGTTAGATATTTGGCTGATCGCATGATGAATGATCCAGAGTATGCGATTCATTTCATTCAATATCGATCTTTTGTTTCATAATATATTGCAACATACTCTATGTTTGAACTTTTCAGCGTGGACTCTGACATGGCACACCAGTTTTTGTTACATATGTACATGAAGATACCCAAGGTGATCTGTTATTTAGACACTTTCCAAACGAAAAAGTTTGTTGAGGGAGCAAGAATTACTGACTGGACAGGTTCTGTGTTGGATTGTATGAGCCATTCTCTATTAACGGCCTTGGCAGCGACACCGAGACAGAAGTCATGGAACTCTAGGTCTCAAGAGTTTGAGATGTGTGCTAGAAAAATGGCTGCCGTTCATCCAATTCTAGTGTTAAGACAGCTACCAATGCTAGCATCATCTTTAATGGGCAGATATTATTTGGACTTCGGTCAGTTTAGATCCGGCCATCATTTGAATCTCTTCATACAGATAATGGGTCTGTTAGAATTATTGCAGCCTCATTTGTTCAGAGAAGAACATCGGAGTGCTCTGGAGGATACATTAGAGAACTACTTCCAATGTTTTCAAGTATGTTTAAGCACTGTTAATGTATGATTTATTTTAGTAACTTCGAAATTATTCATTGAATTTATTTGCAGAATTATGGGCCAATAAAAGAACTCATACCACTGTTAAATAGATTTATCACGTTACTGCAAGCATATATATCTTACGATCCGCAACGAGCATTGAAATATTTGCAGAAGCATGCTCAACCTCTTCAGTAAGTAATCAGTGTCTTTGGTCACTTCCATCGAACTTCAGACATCAGCTTACACTTACATATAGTGAATTACAGGTACACTATCCAAATCTAGTTACCCTTCGTACACTCGTATCAGGAATTCCATTGCCAAGAGAAGGAGAAGATGTGGAGGAAGTTTTAATTACGGTACCTCCTACTCCACCGCCTACAGAAACCATTATCCCACAACATTGGACCTCATTGTTGTCTGCTCTGAGCAAACTACATGGTGACGGTACGACGTACTTCACACTTTTAATTTTAATAAAAAATTGAACGACATTCGCAACGTATATTTATCTTCATTTCAGACGTGTTTAATGCTCTTCAAGAAATTGAGCATTTGTCGTCCCGGAAACCTTCAGTTTTAGAACCCATAACGGATAATATAGTTGATTTACTTGTGTCTCCTCAGGGTAACATAAGAACACTTGCTCATACTTTACTAGCAAGAATACTGAAATATCGTCCATCAACAAATGCAAATATACTGTCCGCCTTTCAAAGGTGTTTGGACAGTCCTAGGGCCGATGTACTAATGTCGGCTCTAGAAAAATTGCCAGAAGTTGTACTATGTATGCAAGGTAAACTATTTTCATATTTGATCTTCGATTCGTTTCCTTCACATCATATTTTGATTAATTGCATTTTGTTCTAGAACATGCTCTACCATTGATGCAGAAGGTATTTGAATTAGGAGTAAACTCAAATGTGAATACAATACCGTATATAACTAAAACCATTGCTCTGTTAAATACACAGCAAGGTTGTTAGTACCATGAAAATTGTAATTTTTATTTTGTATAAAATAAAATTAATAATTTGTAATAAAAAAAAGAGTCATTGCACTTATTTTATTCCGTTTAAGAAATATTACATTCACATCCTACAGAAGTTGATGAAAGTATTACAAAATATGTTACATACAATATTTCAAATATATACATATTCCTCTACATATTATATAATTCTCTATAAAATACTAGTTAATTATATAAAGGCTTCTGGTGGTACATTATTAACTGTATACATGTTCATAAATGTTGTAATAGCAGCTCTTATATCCCAATTGGCTTCTTGAAGATATTGGTGACAAAACTTCATGTTCATTGTAGTTAATTCATGTAGAAATGTTAGCAACTGTTCCTTCTCAGAGACACTGAACACAGTTGGATCAAATTTAGGTGCACTTCTCGATTCAAATTTCATTTCATTGTTTCCCGGTAAATTACTATTTGCAGGTGTTCCATCAAGGTAGCACTGATCATTAGTAATACAATATTCATTGTCCTCTTTTTGTACAATAATAAAAGTCCTATTGAAAAACATTGGTGGGCATGGAATTTCTCGAAAAGAGAAAGTGCCTTGCACAGAAACTGCTAAATGACTATCTTCTTCATATAGTAAATCTATATGAAAAGATTTGAAATTATGTATTGTAGGTGGTTGATTTCTGAGAGCAGAAATAATCTTTTCTGGTCCACGCAATAAAAATTCTTGGCACTTAGCATAATCAACAAATTTCAATAAATTCCTATTTGTAACAAATGTTTTAGTTATTTGTTTATGAGCATAATTTGTTAGTGGCCCCAGAGTCATAGAGTAAAGCGCATCTCTGTCATATAATCCATTCATCACTTGTCTATCATCTTGATCGTATAATGTGAAATAGTGTTTTAAAAATTGTTTAATCAGACAGGTTTTTGTTCCATCTCTTAGAAAATTAGTTTGGACATTAGGAACAAACTTTTGCTCTGTGTCTATAACAACACCATCTAATTTCTGTAGATGGGGAAAAACAGTTTTTACAGCTTGTACATAATCTTGACACTTATTGTATTTTGTACAGAGTGGATTTCCATCCAACCAAAGTTCGCTTATCTTGAACTCACTGAAATATCGTAAATAATCTACATCTCCAATCTGATTATACCTCAGATCTAATTTAGTCAAGTGATAATTAAAAAATTTCTCAAACAAGATAATGGCTGTAATTTTGTTGTACTTCAAGCTTAGCTCACGAATTGGTAATCTTGAATCACGGTTGGTATTTAAGATTCCCATTCTACTGCATCTTAAAACAAATTGCAATACTTTAGGTAAAGATACAGGACAATATATGGAGCCCAATGATTTCTCATTCTCAAAATCATCAAGGTTCAATACTTTCTTTGTAGGTTCATATCTGTAATATAATGCTTGAGCAATAATCCTGTTAGGATTCAATTGTAAATCTTTGGAGTCTAAGAATCCTAACACTATATCAATGTGTAATTCTTGTCCGTTTTGTAAACTCACACATAAACCTTGTTTCACAAGATTTTCTATTGCAGTAGGATTACATTTTGCCAAAAAATTGCTTTTATTTGGACCTTCTTCTTTATACATAACTGGTAATATAATTTCCGGATCACAGGCAGTAATGATTCTCCTCAACACTTCTGTTGCTTTGTATTTTCCTATACCGTATAAAATAAATTTGTGCCATAAATCCTGGCGAGCTGCAAGAGTAGATTCTTGACTAGTGAACGATGGTTTGATATGTGTTAATCGTAGTGGTTCCCAATTTGCTGGGTTTTCAGATACTTCTGCACTTGCCATTATTATTGATGCGGTATGTGATAATATTTTGTAAATATTCTCATAAAAACGAATAATTACATTATATTGCACCACATAACATGAAATTAAATCACAATATAAACGATTGGTTTATACATTTTATTCATGAATGAAATAAATTTGGAGTACACAAAACTTGAATAACCTAATTTTACATAGTTAGGGAACACTTAAGCACATTTTTTAACAAGATTTGTGAGCTATATAATAGCGCATAATTCACTTGAAAAGTTCCATTAAAATATTTTATGTGAAACTCTTTTATATACGCTAAATTTGAGGGTTATAAATTCATCGAGTTTACATGATACTCCATGCTTCCTAATACAAATCAACTTTAGTTACAGGAGCGTAATTAATGGGGATATTTTTCCCCTGAGATATTCTTTTTAACTGTGCGTGTAGAAGTAGAGTTAGAACTTCTTTTTCTCACTCAAATTTTATAAACAGTTGCCGTGGAAAATATAGAATTTTTATAAATAAATTCACTATTCGAGTGAATGATAGATACTTATATGATGTGCTTCACAAACAGAAGTACCAATTTTAATAGGAAACATCTGTATAACTATGTTTCCTACATAGCTGAATTAATATTCTTTTTAATATTTTGTAGAATGCCAATATGTGATTATCAGTAAATCTATTCTATTAAATTTTATTAAAAATTTTAATAACAAATTCGTCGGTATTGTATTAATTACCTTTGAAATTCTATTCGTATGAAACATACTTTTTCTTGTGTTAGTTTTAACAGTTTTGGCATGTTATTCACAATAATTTTTCATTAAAATCGATTTCATTTAACACAAAAATGCTCGATTAACTATTATTCCAATAGTGAATAATTAATTATAAGTAAAAAAATAAAAATTCAAAATTCAATTGCAGAGACTTAAATATGGTTAATTAAAAAAATCACAAACGCGCAAAGCTCATAGATTTTCAGATGGCAGCACAAGTGTGATTCACAAATGGGTTGGGCGTTGGAAAAAAGTTTTTCAGCGCGTTGTAACACCAATTACAATTAACGTAATTCCTTTTTATTATTAAAATTATTTTATATGACTAAATGACAAGATGACAAAAGAGTGGCACGTGTTTCTGTTTGCCGTTTATTTTTTGTGGCAAGGTAAGATTTTAATAAGTTTCAAATTAAATGTGACTGTTTACTATGAGTACACGATTTTTCTAAGTTAAATTCAATTTTCTTAGAATAAAGAATTTTATTGAAAGATAATGATATATTTAAAATTGATATATGTTTTATATCGCCAAAATAATGCTTAACGATTACATTTGGTTTTCAGTTACAGATTCTTTTCAGGAATGTCAAATTCCGTCTGTCATAAGGGGATCATGGTTCTCATGGGAAAACGGTAGAAATACTTTAACAGAAATAAACGCCGAGAAAATGACCAACCGCGGAAACTGTGTAGCTATGCTTGAAGAATTTCATGTTAATTACACATTTGTATTTCAAAATGAGGAGTGCTATCACTGCGTTAAATTGCTTGTTAGAACAGTAAATGTGCTAGAAAAACTTGAAGGTATTGAATTTATTACAAATTAAATGAATAGCTAGCAGTTTGACTATATGAAACATAATATAATTCTATTTGTTTTATGTTTTAGCGAGTTGTGTAAATTTGCCTAATGATGTTCAACCTACTGTAGAAAATGTATGTAAAAGTATCAGACCTAATCAACAGTTGATAACATTATTTTCTGAAAATTATGTTCCCGTGAACTGTAGATCATCTCTTGAAGGTGTTTGGCAATTTGCTTATCAGGCAAGTATCAGATTAAAAAGGAAGGGGAAATTATAAAGTGATAAATTAATTCTCCTATCATAATTACAGAACCGATACAGATTTACAGGAGAATGTGATCACCCAGATGCGCAAATTCGTTCTTGTCAAACTGCAGGAACACAATTTTTAATAACTAATCAAAAATTCAATATAACATATAAACAATGTTCTGGTATGAAGGATACTTTTGATGGAGGTAATATTACTAGTTGTATTGAAACAAAAATATCATAAAATTCGTGTACCATTTTTACATAATAAATGTTTCAGTTGTTGAATACAGCTGCCTGGGAGATTGGTTTGTGGATAAAAATCACTTTTTCGCAGTTGCAAATACAAAAGAATCTAGGAAAGATGAAAAATACAGATGTTTCTTAAAGAATCGTGATGATGACCTCTATATTGGAGTTTCTATTACAGCAGAGTGTAATAAATTGAAAACAGTTGAAAAAAGTCCTGAACGTTTAAGAGTAACACCTGTTAAAGCTGAGGTGATTGAGCCAGGATGTAGATTACCAGAAGATATGACTGGGAAATGGATAAATACAGCCAATATTGATGCAGATATATTCATCAATGAAACACACATAATTGAAACTTGGTATCCTGACGAGGGCCGTTATAGACGTACAATTTACGTGTGCCGAGAATCAAGAGATACCAGAGTGATGATGGCAAGATTAACTGTTGATGGATGGTATGGTATTATACACAAAGCTTATATTTCATGATAGTATAATAAGTAAGCAAATCATATTTTCAGTCAAAAAGATTATGTTTGTTTCGACTTCGTACGACGACACCATAACATTATTCGATATCGGCGAGGTCTCGCTGTTATTAAAGACGATTTCCACACTGTTTGTTCTTGGGTACAATTCCCTAACAAGGAAGCTTGGAAATATGACTTATTTCTGGGTTAGTATAATAAACAGTGGAACTTCTAACTGTTGGACAATAGTATCAGTAATTGATACGTCTATCGAAATATGTTTTATCAACATGATTTATGTCTTTTAGCGAAAGATCCTGTACCAGTACGTTGTCCCGTGGCTGGAAAATACATGTTCCAACAAAAAGGAGACGTCCTGTTTGAAACTAGAATTTTAGGTGGCGTTACGTTGTCTCCACGTCCAAATATCTATTGCAAACAAAATATTTCAGATTTTTCTGTATGCGACACCGATCAAAAAGAAATCGCCATTGATGAAACATATTGCTTGTCAGTTGATCATTTAGGAAGACCTGTAGATATTTACAGTAAGTTGTACACCGTATCACAGTTGTAACGAAAATATTGAATATCCTTCACTTTACTTTTGGTGTGCAGGTTTGCCAGATTATAAAATGAAATGTATTGGATTTTGGAAAGAAAATTTGAAATCATACTTGATAACTTACGACGAGTTGGATCCTTTCAGTAAATACCGTTGTTGGGTATATCAAAGGGCTGATTTAAATAAAGTCCTTATGTCTCAAGCTATTGGTCCATTCTGTGATCTTAAGCAAGACGTCACTAGTAGTAATTATACTGAAGGTGCTGCAGTTGCATTGGAGATGCAGGTAAACGAAAAGTACTACTGTAGATTTTTCTAAATATTATTGACAATTACGTACATTTATAATAATTTCGAATTTAGGAATATGAAAGAGAACGTGATCAATGCCCGATGTATTTTGACGATGGCAGTAATCCTTGGAAAGTAACAGAGAATTATATAAAGATATTTCATTATGGCAACGGAGGTACAACAATTTCGTATTTTTATCCGTCCATTATAACTAGTGTTGTATTATTACTTGGATCACAATTTTAGACAGTAACTTTTTTAAACTTTTAATATATAAATTCCGTCCATTTTATGTATATACACTGTTAGATTTGTATATTGCAATTTATACAATGCACATGTGTCATATATTACATGTTATGAACAAATTTATTGTATAGCATGATGTTGTTACAATGTAAAACATTTTGAGAAGTCTGCCTTATACATATGCCTACATATTTTACTATTGACTAGTACGTTTGTTAATGTAAAACAAACGTTGTAATAAGATTATAAGATTCAGTAGTCCATCCATTTTAGGATTAGAGATTTGATATTTATATTTTTTTATAAATACTTGCAATAAAGTACAATTTTACACAAAAGTAAATGTTAACTTTAATATTATTATAATTATTTATGTTTACAGTATGTATGTATAAATAAAATGCTAATAAACGAACACATGCACCAGAATTTACTTAGTCCAACTGACTTTTGGTATGTCAAAGTGTTCTGTCAAACTGTCCAAGTGTCTGTTAAATTCTTCTACCCGTTGTTTGTGTGTCATAGAGGCTTTCTGCTTTATTCGTTCAGTTTGCTGAAAATAATAACAGAACAGTAATGCTTCCCTTCCTTGAAAACAATCTTTCATAACAATAAATTGCTATTTACCATTTTCTCTTGCATTTTTTGAAAAGCTATCTCTGCTTTTGTCCTATTAATTTCTTGAATTTTAGGCT